AAGAATGATAAGAAAACTGGGCTCTCTTCCTCCCGGGCCCTGGGAAACTCAGGCAGTACCCAAGACCCCCGTCCATGCCCAGCTATGAAACCATGGCTGGCGGATAAGCGTGCTGAGAAATCACAAGTCAAAGCCCAGAACCCAGATATCAGCGCTAAAGGAGAAGGTCCCGCTCCATCCATTTATGAGCCTCCACCACCTGGGAAGGTTAAATTGGTACCTTTGCCTTTTCTGACCCTGGAGAAACCTCCACCTCGACCAGTAATCAATAGGAGGCCACAGTCTCTGGCTTCACGGACACCCACTGGGGCTTACCCTGCCCAGCCTGGTCCCGCTAGCTCAGCTCAACCCATGGCAGTCAATCAATCCCAACCAGCTACTGCCAACCCATCTTGGATGCGTCCTGCCAAGCCAGCTCAGCTGGCTCATGCCATTCAGTCAGGTATGAGCGCTTCTACCCAGCCTAGTGTCCCTCGGTCTGCTGCTTCTGGGCCTGCACCCTACAAAATATCATCTTGCACTTCTCTCCATTGGCAACCAGTTCCCAATGTTGGGACCAAGCCCCAGTCACAACCGCTCAAGTCTCAAAACCAATATCTACTCCAAGACTTTGCCTTACAACCAATTCCATGGAGGAAACCCAATGTTCCTGGGCAAGTAGTATCAACTCCCATCACCAAACAGCAGAGGCCAGAGCGGGAAGCCATGAAGAAGAAGGCTCAACAAGAGCGTGAGAATGCTGCCAAGTACACTGCTTTGGGGAGAGTGCAGTGCTTCATTGAGAGGGAAAGAGAGATGGAGATTTCTCGCTACTATGGCTACATAATGTAAGAGCTGCTGAGATCAGTGGTGCCACTTAGGGACCAAATAGTTTTCCACATGTATATAGATAGAGTGATACACATTTATTTATTCTCAGATGCTTTCAAAGTTTAATAAAATTATATAAAGAAATGTAATATAATTCACTAATACATAATAAAGAGGCCTTCGGATACCACTGAGAATTGTTAGAAAATAAAGAGGCCTTTGGGTACCACATGGGTACCAAATAGTGTTCTCATATACACATAGATAGATAGTTGAAAATTTATTCATTAGGCACAGTTGAAAAGGTAATATAGTTCAATAAAGAAATGCTATATAGTATTGATTAGAGGGTAATAATAAAGAGGCTTTATGTTGCCATTTGAATACCAAATAGTTTTCCACATATATATACAGAGAGGTACATAGATACAAAGGTATTCACTTATAGATTTTTAAGACTTAATATAGTTGAATAAAGAAATGTAATAGAATTGTTTGAGAGATAAGTAATAAAGATGCTTTCTGGTACTGCTTGGGCATCACATAGTTTTCTACATGTGTAGATACAAATTTTATAAATATGTAGATACAAAGA